AAAGAAATGATGAGACTCTTTGGTATTCAGCCACGTCCTAAGAGCCTTTTCTTTAAATGCCACTAATTCTGTTTTGTGGGATACTTTTTGATCTCATTTGTGTGTGTATCTCTACATACATACAAAACAAGTCTCTAATGGCATTACTATTTGGTTAGCTGCAGCTGGGAAATCTTCACATGCTCGAAGCAAATCATCCTATGGCATACCATGTCAGATGCTTGGCCAGAATTTCAAGGTTTTTTTTTTTTTGTTTTGTTTGTTTTTTTTAATGTGCAACTTAAATGCACAGAGTACTATGGTTCACCTTCAGGAAAAAAAATTGCTATGTATCGTACACTGCACATATAAACTATAACTTGCTCAGAATTCCTTATAATTTAAACAAACATACATTTTAATGTTTTTGTATTCATAGACTAAAAGTAAAAAAAACTCTAAGCAATTTTATGGAACCAGATAAAAACCCACTGGAGCTAAATACAACACTGATATTCTCTTCATGCCAATTCTCTACTCTATGACCCTATGTAACTCCTCCCCATTCACAAACATACTTCACCCTTTTGATCCTGTAGAATATGGAAATGAAGAAGTCATTTTTGTTTTTGTTTTTTGGGGTTTTTTTTTGAGACCGGATCTCACTCTGTTGCCCATGCTGGAGTCCACTGGCGGGATCATAGCTTAGTGTAGCCTGAAACTTCTGTGCTCAAGTGATCTTCCTACCTCAGCCTTCCAAGAAGCTGGAACTAAAGGCACATGCCATGAGGCACAGCCAATTTAAAAAAAAAAAATTGTAGAGGCTAGATCTCACTAAGTTTTCCATGCTGGTGAAAAAGCCGTCTTTAGAAAATACTTTGTATAGAAATAAAAATACATCACCACTAGAAGTCAGTGCCAGCCACGTGACTAACAGATTTTAAGTTAGGGCTCAAGAGAACCTAATACCTTCTTGAACAGGCCCCATGCTTTCTCACAACTCTCATCTACTTCTCATCCCTCTCCATTCCCAACATGTAAGCTTGGCCAAAAAAAAAAAAAAAAAAAAAAAAAAAAAATTAGCCAAGCCTGGTGGCACGTGCCTGTAGTCCCGGCTACTCAGAAGGCCGAGGAAGGAGGACCCCTTGAGCCCAGGAGTTCGAGAGTGTAGTGAGCTATGATTGAGCCACTGCACTCCAGCCTGAATGACAGAACAAGAGCTCATTTCTAAAAGAAAATAAAAAATAAAGATAAAAATTAAAAGTGATCATCTGAATTAACAAAGGCAAATGAGGTCTGTTTTCTGAGGGCCAAAGAAATAAAGAAAGTTACTAAATATGTTCTGAGAATACATACACTAAAATGGGGTCAGTAAATAGGCTAGATAATAAATATTTTAGATTTTACAGGCCATACTGTCTCCACTCCAACTATTCAACTCTGCCATTATTGCAAAACAACAGTTAGAGACAGTACGAAAATGAATATGTGGTTGTGTTCCAATAAAACTTTACTTACAAACCAGGTGGCTGACTCTGGTAATTGTCAACCCATGTACAAAAACACAGACACACTGGTATAACAATGTTTATGTGTACATCTTTGATATAAGGCTGAATGAGAAATGTCACTCTAAACGGCTGTTCTTCCACAGTAATTTCTTTTTACCTAGGAAGATAAAATATCAACTCCATTAAAAAAAAAAAAAAAGACCTATGTTCACTTTTAAAAATTACATTTTGAAAGGAAAATTGATCTCTATATAATCTTAGACCCGAGAAAGAAAACCTTTGGGAAAGAGGAGAGTGGGAAGAGGAGGCCAGAAGGTGGTGTCCAGGAGAACCAAGGTGAACAAACATTAACCCATGATTTGTATTCTCAGAACAATCTGCAGAAGCTGGTAACATGTATACTATATATAGAAACACATTTGTGCCCTCAAGAAACTCGTGACATAGTTGAAGAGCAAACTTACTTTTGCCTCTGCATTCCAAAATTTTCAATATTAAGGGCATATGGGATTGCAAGTACACTTTCTGAAGAAGCTTAAAACTTAGGCTTCAAAATAAAGACACTTTTAATGAAGACTTACACTTTTAGAAACAGAAAAAGACTGCATAAAATCATATTACATCTAGAATTTATTTTATATTTCTATTCTTTTGTCCTATATCAATTCTGTATTACTATCAGTAACTATGGTTCACTACGTGGGCATAGCCTCCTGAAAGAATTTATCAGAACTTTCTTGGGAATGGGGTAGGGTAGCATTGAATTGAAAAAAAATCCCAAGGTGATTCTGATTCTTCTACTCCTTCCTTCTCCACCCTCTAATCCCTACTTCAGGAATCCCTACTATACATCATGATCTCTCAAAGTACAAAAGAAAGATTTCTCCTCTGAAAAAAAACTGAATCTTGAACCTTAAAATATACCAAACACAGCCAGGCACGGTGGCTTATGCCTGTAATCTCAGCACTTTGGGAGGCCGAGGCGGGCAGATCACCAGGTCAGGAGATTGAGACCACCTTGGCCAACGTGGTGAAACCCCATCTCTAATACAAAAAAAAAATTAGCAAGGCATGGGTGGCACGCACGTAGTCCCAGCTACTCAGAAGGCTGAGGCAAGGGAATCGCTTGAACAAGGGCAGTGGAGGTTGCAGTGAGCCGAGATCGTGCCACTGCACTCCAGCCTGGGCGACAGAGCAATACTCCATCTCGAAAAAAAAAAATACATAGATAGATAGACACATAGATATAGATATATAGAGAGAACATAATAAATCTGTGTGCCTTCCTTCAAGTAGGCTCTATCTCCAAAAAGTTTGTATAGTATGGAACAAAAAATTCCCAGGTCTGCAAGCAAGAATTAAGACCAAAACCACTGTCAGGCACAGTGGTTCATGTTTGTAATCCCAGCATTTTGGGAGGCCAAGGTGGGCAGATTGCTTGTGACCAGCCTGGGCAACATGGTGAAACCCAATCTCCACACACACACACACACACACACACACACACACACACACAATACAAAAATTAGCCAGACATGTTGGTGCATGCCTGTGGTCCCAGCTACCCAGGAGGCTGAGGTGGGAGGATCACAAACCCAGGGAAATAGAGGCTGCAATGAGCCTCTATTGATCATGCCATTGTACTCCAGCTTGGGTGACAGAATGACACTTTGTCTCCAAAAAAAAAAAAAGAAACTATACTTTTATACCCCAGTCCATCACAAATTATATAAGTTAGGTTACTTAAATTAGGATAATTCCTAAGCAAAAGTTGTAAGTGTTACAAGGCGGGGAAATAAATAGCGCCTAAATTAATTATAATTTTAGGCTGATCCCAAACATTTTTACAAATCTGACTGAATTTATACCTACTTATTTTCTTAAACAACATACCTACCCAGAAGAATTCTCTTCTAACTCTTTCTTGGGAGAAAATACTATTAAATCTACTACTTAAAAGTAGAAAAATAAATCACAATTCATTCACTAGGGCCAAGGAAATCAAAGACCAAAACATCAGATCCTAAAAAAAAAAATTCATGTTGTAATTGTTAAGCATTACAGGCAAGAAGAATTTTAGCTTTAACATCACAAATAAGAGACTCCTCAAAGTGAAGAATTGAGATTTTTATTTTTTAGCTTATTTTCTTTTTTAGCTTATTTATAGTATGAATGTAATTAAAAATTTTTTAAAGTTTAAGAACTGCAAGACATTTTTCACATATGCAAATAAAAGTACTTCCAACTAGGTACTATATATATAGAATTTTCTCATTAGGAAAAAATAAGAGGGATTCCATTAGCTTAAACTACCACAGGTAGTATATAAATTAATGAGTGAAGCAATATTTCGAAAACACTTTATAAACACAGGTGGCCTTCAAGCAATAGTTTGCCATACTCCTGCTGTAAACAGCCCAGTTTTTAAACCAATATTAGATTTTGTAAGATTATAGACAGATTAAAAAATTATCTGCATATAATTATTCCACTCTATCAAGTCTTTTCTACCTGCAGTGAAATGTGCCAAAAGCAGCAGGGGTCCAAAGTGCTGAAAGGACAAGGAAGAAAGCCAATGTGTTAACAAAATTCTTAGACAATTACTTTGTTTGGATCATCCATTCAACAAGTATTTGCTCAGGACACACAAACTCCTGGCTTCTGGATCTAGTATGAAAGACAACACACATACAAACACTTACGACTAATTAGGCTGGCTAAGTGCCACATGATGGTACAAAAAAACCCTAACATTTGCAAAATGCTTCAAGGTTTAACATATTTCCACATAAATTAATAAAACTTCAAAACAACCCTGTGAAGTATATAAAGTACTTGGTATTATTATCATTTTACACAAAGCTCATAAGCAGCAGAGTTAGGATTTGAACTTCCAATATTATACTACTCTATACCTCCACCACAGTGCAGCTTTCTGCTAGAGGCCTATGACAGACATCCAGGCATTGAATTGAGTCTCCAAGAATAAGTGAGATTTTGACAAAAGAGACCCTGGCATTCTGAGAAAAGGCATATGCAGAAGTCCAGAAGCAAGGGAATACAATGTGTGTAAAGATAATGCTAGGCTGGTTCACATAAGGCAGGTGGAAAATAAGGTTATAAAGATGGGTTGAAAGCAAGAAGAGAGCTTTAAGATCTGGCTAAGCATTGATGACCCTATGGACAATGAGAAATCAAATGATTTAGGAGAGAGAAGGAAGAAACAAGGTAAATGAAGCTCTTACGGTATACTGGGTACTTTGCAAAAGAGTCGTTTCATATCTAGGGATACTGGGTACTGCTACAGGGAGATTACACTATTATCTGAGAGGTCCAAAAGAAGGGAAAGGAGTCAAAGGCTGTCTCCACAGTTTCAGCGTGAGAGGTCAGAGAATTCAAAGCAACTCCTGTCTTGTCTCACATGATGATTGTTACATGTCCTCAACCCTCCTAAGTTAAATCAATGTCCACAATTACCCTAAATTTTCCTACATTTTATCTAAAACTTACCGAATCTTCTGGAGGTCTCTGGATTTTTCCCCAATCCACAGAAGGCCCCTTTTCTTGCAAAAATCGATGAAATAGCTTCCGAAATCCATCCAGGTCTTTTTTAGTGTGCTGCGAAAATAGAAGTCATTGTTACAACCTGAAGAATGCTTAATATTTAATAAAAACATCAAGACAGAGACAAGTTATACATTTAAAATATCTTCAAATGAAATTCTTATACCATTAGGATAAGGAGGAGAGAAGAGACTTTTTTACACCTTCAAAGCTAATAGAGGCTGGAGATGGTTGGTGCACGCCTATAATCCCAGCACTTTGGGAGGCTCAGGCCGGCTGATCACTTGAGCTTAGGAGTTTAAGACCAGCCTGAGCAACATGGCAAAAACTTGTGTCTACAGAAAATTACAAAAATTAGCCAGGTATGGTGGCATGTGCCTGTACTCTCACCTACTCGAGGGCCAAGGTGGGAGGATCACTAGAGCCCAGGAAGTCGAGGCTGCAGTGAGTGGAGACTGTGCCACTGCACTCCAGCCTGGGTGACAGAGTGAGACCCTGTCTCAACAACAACAATAACAACAACAACAAAACCCCATTTGTTTAATGGGAATTCCAACTGGCAAAAATAAAATACACACACACACACACACACACACACTGTTTGTTTGTTTTTTGGAGACAGAGTCTTGCTCTGTTATCCAGGCTAGAGGGTAATGGTGCAATCTTGGCTCACTGCAACCTCCACCTCCCAGGCTTAAGCCAACCCTCCCACCTCAGCCTCCCCAGTAGCTGGGACTGCAGGCACACACCATCATGCATGGCATGAGCTCAAGCAATCTTCCTGCCTCAGCTTCCCAAAGTGCTGGGATTACAGGTATGAGCCACTGTACCTGGCCACTACACTTACTTACCAATATCTTTCTCTACTTCTAAATGAAAATTAATCTTCACTAAGAACAAAAAGAAATAAAACACAGCTTGCCTCAAAACATTAACTTCTCTCAATTCCAACTGAACAGTTATCCATTTCTCTACCCAATGATATCAAAACATAGAACAAATAAAGTACAGTATAATTTGTTTCTGATTCTTTTAAATGAAGAAAAGATGATGGATTTATGAAGGACAAACGTTAAAAGCCTTTAGTTGTTAAGCAATTCTAATTATTTGTTTTTGATGTCATCTTACATCTTGTGTTTATTTGAGGCTGGATGATGATCATTATCATTGTCAGCAACTCGGCATGAAGACAGATGAAGCAAAAAAAAACCACTGTAGAGACCTTACCTCAAACTCATGTGATGATGCTGTGGTGAGTATTTTTTCTAGTTCCTTCTTCACAGATAATTCTAGCTCTTGCCGAATGACTTCTTGGAACTGAGAAGCGCCATCTTGAGACATTGCTTTGCTAAGATCTTAAAATAAAAATATAAAACCACCAACTGAAAACTCCAGAAAGCCTTTCAAAGAGCTGGTAAGCTATAACTGATCTAGTTCTGGTATTCAGCAAATGAAAAGGGCTCAATCCCATGGTCCCCTTGTCCTCTGGCAGGAATTCAGCAGTGTCAACTAGTTAGGACTAGTTTCATTCCAGTTTCATGTTCTCCACTAAACAAGAATCCCTTTAGAGGTACTGGCAATTCCAAGGTGCCTCTACTTTCCTGCATCAACGTTTTCACTTTAAGAGCACCAGGGCATAGAGCTGCCTGCCCTCTTCTGGTGGTTCCCCATTTCAGCCAAGACTCTGCACTGTTAACATGTGTCAGACTAGACTTTTAGTGCTTTTGGCATAGCTGGGCACCTCTGTGACAGATAGATCTGAATAAAGGTGACAGAAATGCCTCTTAGATGAATACAAACAAAAATAGAAAATTACAGAAAAAGGCTAGGCATCATGGCTCATGCCTGTAATCCCAGCACTGCAGGAGGACAAGTGGGGTGGACCCTGGAGTCCAGGAGTTTGAGATCAGCTTAGACAACACAGCAAAACCTCATCTCTACAAAAAAATACAAAAATTAGCCAGGTGTGGTGGTGCTTATGTGTATTCCCAGCTACTTGGAAGGCTGAAGCAGGAGGATCCCTTGAACTGAGGAGGTAGAGGCTATAGAGAGCTGAGATCACGCCACTGCACTCCTGTCTGGGTGACAGAACCAGATCCCATCTCAAAAGAAAAGGAAAAAAAAAAATTACAGAAAAAGAAACACCCCAAGCCCAAACGCCTTGGGGGAAAAATACCAACACAGGCTGTTTTACACTTTATCTAGAAAGTAATCATCTTATTTACTTCTCATAAAACAGGGACAAGTGGATTATTGTCCACTCCTCCCTTCTATCCTCAGTACTAGATTCAACCTTATTTTTAAAATCTATTTTCAAAGTTTATATTCAAATATTTTGATAACTAGTTATTCTTACAAATGCCTGTTAATTTAGCAGACTCACATTTCAATAAGGCTGAAAATTCTTTCCCCTTATCCACTCCACATACTATAAATTCTTTCACTTATTATTTGGACAGGAGAACAAGACATTTATACAGACAGAATTAAAGCCAACATAATCTTTATTTTAAAGATACTTTTGAGAACAGAAAACAGTAAACTACATAACTCTTGGGGTAATTTATTTAACATACATAGGCTCTACCTCCTGCAACTAACTAAAAATGTTAACAAATGGTATATTTAACATAGCTCTTCAAAAATCTTTTCATATATATGTTCCATCACATCTAAATCCAAGCGAAAAAAATCCAAGGAAATTTGCTGAAATTTAACTCTAAAATAGCCCTTTTCCAACCAAGCTCTTTTTACAGTTATAAACCCTAACATAACTAACTTAGTATTCTCCAGTAATACTATCAAAGTGGGCAGGGCTTGCGTGGTCCACACCTGTAATCCCAGCACTTTGGGAGGCTGAGTGGGGAAGCTCACTTGAGGCCAGGTGTTTAAAACCAGCCTGGGCAATACAGCAAGACCCAGTCTTGACAAAAAATACAAATATTAGCAGATCGTAGTGGCACACATCTGTACTCCTAGCAACTAGGGAGGCTGAGATGACATGATCGTTTGAGCCCAGGAATTCTAGGCTGCAGTGAACTACGATCACACCACTGTATTCTATCTAGCCTGGGAACCAAAGCAACCCTCTGTGAGTCAAGAAGCACTATATACCATGTGTGTTCCATAAACAACCTAAACACAAGTTTTGGCTGGTAACAATTTGATTATAATTTGTAAAAACCCATGACAATGGATGAGTACATCTGCATAAACTATTACAGGTAATTAAAAGTTACTGCAGAACAGTTCAAACTGAGTTAACATGACATCATCCATACATATACATCCCTTGACAGATTTAGATACATTTTAAAATTTGTCCCCGGTTAAGTATCCTATCCTGACACCTCATGTGTACCTGGGATGCCTCTTTCTCCAGTCTTTAAGCCAATTCTCATTCAATCTTTGGAAAATAATTTGAAAGAAAAATATATTAAATACAGAGGAAGAAAAAACTCTATATTAAAGAACTTATGAATTGTTTTTTTTATTTTTGAGACAAGGTCTCCCTCTGTCGCCCAGGTTGGAGTGCAGTGGCTTGATCACAGCTCACTGCAACCTCCCCGTCCCAGGCTCAAGCCCACCTCAGCCTCCCAAGGAGTTGGGACTACAGGTGGGGCTAATTTTTTTTTTTTTTTTGCAAAGACGCGTTTCCCCATATGTTGTCCAGGTTGGTCTCAAACTCCTGGGCTAAAACAACCTGCCCACTTCAGCTTTCCAAAGTGCTGGGATTACAGGCATGAGCCACCATGCCCTAAATTGTCTCATTCTGATCAATTAAAATAAATCAAGAAGTGACTATACAATAATTTTTAAAATAAGTTCTTTTGTTAGACTCAAAGACATCTACAGATTTGCTACTTTGTTGCTGAAGTTAGATTCTGAAACCCAGTATTCACAATCATACTCCTAAAAAAACATGATAGAAACATTTAAGTTCTGCACTGGAAAAAAATGCCAAAATGAGATAAAACTAAATGTAACTACAAAATTTAGAAGTAACTAAAGTAGCTGTTTGAGATTTGTCTAAATGAGAACCATTTGAAAACAAAACATTTTAGAGTTATTCCCTCTACAGAATAACTTATAAATTTATATGATTTAAGGTCAAAACACACAGAACCCAAGTCACTATCCTCCTTATCAAGCCAAGCTAAGAAAGGTTGGCTGAAAAGACTCACATTTAATACTGTACGTGCTCTGTGTCAACTGCAGCAGGTGTTAAGTTTCATAGGCAGATTCAAAAAAATCCCAGACACAGATTCAAACTTGAGTTGAGAAATGTCTCTAACCTTTATTTCTTCCTTTTATTTGATACAGCACCAATGCACATGAAAAGTAATTTGTATTCTTCCACCCTCTTTACAAGTATCATCGTCTTAAACAAAAGAACATCACGACAAGCCTGTCACCTCTTCTACCCCTCTAAAAGCTCTGTTTTTAGTGATTAAAGAATCAGGAAGGGCTTTTAAGGAATAAAAAATATTCAAGAATAAAGAATAAGGAAAAGCACTTAGACAATAAGAGTAGCTATCTTAAGCATCTGGGCACAAACCAGGAGGCACAGAGCAGGAAACCATTTCCCTTAGTAGTGACTTCCTCATCCATCCTGAATTTTTTAAGTAAGACTTGAAATTTCTGGTACGAAAAGTACTACAGACGTCAGAAGCTTTCTTGGATTTAACATCTCAGGTTACACTTCTGACAATGACAGCTGTGTTTCTAAAGGAAGGTCAACTAAATCCTCTGAATAATGCAAGATTTCTAACCTCATAAAATGTTTTGTCCTTATTTCCAAGCAATATAAAATTGATCCCCCATGACTTTAGACACAGAGTGAGTTGGGAGTCAAACATTTCATTACCTTAGTCATAAACATTTTTATAGATGGGAGGGAGCATTTAATCTACTCTCATCATTTTATAGATGAGGAAACAGGTTGAAAATAGTTAAATGACTTATGCAAGGTCACAGAGCAGGCCAATGTTGGAGCTCAGAAGCAAAGCCAATTTTTTTAGTACCATTCCACCATGGTGAGGCAGAAATACCCTGTTAATGTTTTTTTCTTCCTGGCCTGGCTATCTTTAACCTTGACATAAAATCCCTAAATCCCACACTCTCCTCCAAAAGCATTTCTCTCAGAACCTCTTATGTTCAATCAACAGACAGGGTAACTCCTCACCACATAAAACTAGATTTACTAGAATTGTCTTGGTTGACTTCATCACACTTTAAGTCAATTTCGGATAGAATAGGCAATAATATTTTTCCACAAGTTCTTCCTTTCCCCCAATTTCCTAATTCTTCCTGTTCGTAAGAACTAAATTTCAACACCATAGGCTTTTATTTCCAGCTGGAGCCAAAAAAGAGAGAGAGACAGTCAATCTGACAAGTGAATGTTTTTGTTTCCTAATTCATGGATCTTATTTCATATATTTCAGCAGTAAGAGGTATACATAATACTCTTCCCTAACACCCTGATACTGGCACAAACAAAGTAAGTATACAAGCTAGTTTCATAATGCACAGAACATAGAAAAACCACAGGGGAAGCACCAAGAGTGACAAAGAAGTTGAAAAGCCATCCCCAGGCCACTTCTGTCTGATCAGTCCCAACCTTCCTGGAAAACTCACAATGAGAGATACTCAAAGCCGAAGAACTGGAGAGCCCCTTTAATCTTATCATCAGCAAATGACTTACGAGCCAAATCACCAAAAACAAGAATTCAGTGGCAACTAGAAATATAAACTATGCCAACTAGATTTATAACCAATTCAAGCTAACCAGGTTCTTCTGGGCACACTGCAGTCCTTTACACTCAATTATTTGTGACTATTCCTCCTGGAAAAGCTCTTTTTGGGTTCCAATACTCAATATTATCTTATATCTTTTCTTACCTCTGTGACTACACCTTTCTTTCCCTCACTGGCTCCTTCCTTTCCTCTCCTACTCCCTAAGATTCCTAAAATTCTGTCCCCAGACCATTTTTTCTCCTCAGTTCTCTTGCCAGTCTCCTTACTGATCACTCAAACATGTGCCTCTCATCCTAAATGTTTATCCTGAACTCCACGATCACGTTCTTTACTGCCTTAAAGACTCTGGACACCTGGATACTCAGCTGGGTACCTCAAACTTAACATGTCCAAAACAAGACTCATCATCCAAACTAAATTACTGTTCTGCCCTCCCTGTTCCCCATGGCATTAACACTTTCGTAGAAACTAAGGTTTAAACCTCACAGTCACAGTTGGCACTTCCCACCTTTCCTCTCACATTGGACAAGCCAATTATCAAAACTTCTTAAATGATTGCCATAATTTCATTCACTGTTTTTCACTTCCATTACTGCTA